TCCTTAGACTACAGGAATTTCCAGTGGCAACCAAGTGCCTATATGCATTTGCAGGATGCAAAGCATGCTTCACAGTAGCGCTATAATTCTTTTGTCATCAGTGCATCTGAATTCCACAGGATTCACAGTCCAAATGCAAAGGAGCCTGGTGACTTTTCTTCCAGTAGAACTCCCCGTTCACTGCAATTTTTCTTTAGGAATTTATAGAAGAAATGCATGATGCTGAGCAACACCCCCAAATTAGCATCATGAATAGTTCCTATAAAACTGCAAAGCTGCAATGGAGGAGAGCCTTGTCGACATGGGGGTCAGGAGCCTACCCTGCCAAAATTCTTTAGCTGGAACCTTTGTAGTAGCAAACTGCACATCTAACGGGTACAACCTCAGGCTGTGTAATATCCATGTGTATTTCACATACTCTATACTGGAAGTGCAGAAAGTTGCTTAAGAAGACCATTCTGTAAGTAATGAGTGCCAGATGCCTCAAATATCAAGACCCTGGCTCAGCGATGTGCATACATAATCTACTCTTGTGAATTTTCACAATAGTCATCACCTGTGGGAGCTAGAGGTAGTCCTTCCTATTTGCCTTCATGAGAAAATGAGGATCACTATCACAGTTGATACTGCTGAATTGTTTGTTTGAAGGTGATCATACAGTTCCTGAAACAATAGGAACTACATGGGGTGTACTGAAAATGGGATGGGACAGGAACCATGCACACAACAGTGACAGTACATGTTGTTCTTGTTCAGTCACACAGTCGTGCTTGACTCCTTGCAACCCCATGAACCACTGCATGCCAGGCCCCTCTGTCCTCCAGTTTTCTGTTCACCCAAATTCATGTTCTTTGCATCAGTGACACTATCTAACCACTCATCCTCTGCTGTCCCCTTCTCCTTTTACCTTCAATCATTCCCAGCATCAGGGTTTTTTCCAATGAGTCCTTCCCTTTCTTTATGTGGTCAAAGTATTTGAGCCTCAGCTTCAGTATCTGTCCTAAGAAACAGTCAGGGTTGATTTCCTTTAGGATTGACTGATTCGATCTTTTTGCAGTCCAAGGGACTCTCAGAAGTCTTTTTCAACACCACAGTTCAAAAGCATCAGTTCTGTGATGCTCAAACTTCCTTATGGTCTGAGTCTCACAGACATACGTACATTACAACTGGGAAAACCATAGCCTTGACTATACATACTTTTGTTGGCAGGGTGATGTCTCTGCTTTTTAGTATGCTGTCCAGATTTGCCATAGCTTTCCTCCCAAGGAACAAGCATCTTTTAATTCCATGGCTCCAGTCACTGTCTGCAGTGATCTTGGGAGCCCAAGAAAATAAAATCTGTCACTAATTCCATTTCTTCCCCTTCTATTTGCCAGGGAGTGATAGGACCAGATGCCATGATCTTAGTTTTTTAAATTTTGAGTTTCAAGCCAACTTTTGCATTCTCCTCTTTCATTCTCATCAAGAGGTTCTTTAGTATCTCTTCACTTTCTGCCATGACAGTGGTCTGCATATCTGAAGTTATTGATATTTTTCCCAGCACTCTTAATTCCAGCTTGTGATTCACCCAGCCCGGCATTTTGCATCATGTACTCTGCATATAAGTTAATAAACAAGGTGACTGTATTCAGTCTTGTGGTACTCCTTTCCCAATTTTGAACCAATCAGTTGTTCCTTGTTCAGTTCTAATTGTTGATTTTGATCAACATAAAGGTTTTTCAGGAAACAAGTAAGCTGTCTGGTACTCCCATCTCTTTAAGAACTTGCCACAGTTTGTTGTAATCCACACAAAGGCTTTGCCTTAGTCAATGAAGCAGAAGTAGATTTTTTTCTGGAACTCCCAAGCTTTCTCTATAATACAGAGAACATTGGCAATTTGATCCCTAGTTCCTCTGCCTCTTCAAACCCCAGCTCATACTTCTAAGAGAGTGGTTTCCCCTACTTTCTTCAATTTCAGCCTGAATTTTGCAATAAGATGCTCATGAACTGAGCCACAGTAAGCTCCAGATCTTGTTTTCACTGACTCTACAGAGCTTCTCCATCTCTGGCTGCAAATCACATAATCAATCTGATCTCGGTGTTGACCATCTGGTGATGTCCATGTGTAGAGTTGCTTCTTGGGTTGTTGGAAAATAGTGTTTGCTATGACCAGTGTGTTTTCTTGACAAAACTCTGCTAGCCTTTGCCCTGCTTCATTTTGTACACCAAGGCCAAACTTGCCTGTTATTCCAGTTATCTTATGACTTCCTCCTTTAGCATTCCAATCCCCCATGATGACAAGGACATCATGTTTTTGTGTTAGTTCTAGAAGCTGTTGTAGGTCTTCATAGAACTGGTCAGCTTAAGCCTCTCCAGCATCAGTGGTTGGGGCATAGACTTGGACTACTGTGATATTGAATGATTTGCCTTGAACTCAAACTGAGATCATTCTGTCATTTTGGGGATTCCCTACTCTCTTATTGACCATGAGGGCTATTTCTTCCATTTCTTTTAAGGGATTCTTGCCCACAGTAGTATATATAATGGTCATCTGAATTAAATTCACAGATTCCTGTCCATTTTAGTTCACTGATTCCCAACATGTCAATGTTCAATCTTGCCATCTCATGTTTGATCATATCCAGCTTACCTTGAGCCATGGATCTTACGTTTCAGGTTCCTATGCAATATTGTTCTTTACAGCATCAAAATTTACAGCAACTGAGAGTCCTTTCAGCTTTGACCCTGTTGCTTCACTCTTTTTAGCACTACTTGTACTTGCCATCCCTGTAGCACATTGGATACTTCCGACCTGAGGGGTTCATCTTCTGACTCTCCACTATGACCTGTCCATCATGGGTGCCCCTGCATGGCATAGCTCATAGCTTCATTGTGCTACACAAGCCCCTTTACTGTGGCAAGGCAGTGATCCATGAGGGGAGACAGTACATAGCCCCATCTATCCAGTGACATATCATTGTGAAGTCATTCACAATGCCATTGGTAATTTAGTTAGGATAATCTACAAAAACTTGCAGGCACACTACTGAAGGCAAACAAAAGTGATGCCCTCAGATAGCCAAATCTGATTGTTTACTGAGTGTCATTGTATCATGTTCAGTAAATGATCCCTGATTGGCTGGGATAATACACAAGAGGCAAGAGGAACAAGCAGCAGTCAGATGAAACTTATCAAAAATTGTGTGTATTTTGAAAAAGTTCACACAATCTAAGTAGGGGAGTGGGGAAAACTAGCCTACTGAAATACCTATTTTGAACCCGCAAATCAACATGCTAACAAAGCTAAATAACATTCTGTCCATGACTTTTTCAATACTATTTTTATTACCATTTTTGCAAGTCAGAAAATGAAGACTTCATAATCAGTGCTACATCTACGCAGTACTTTTCATCTGTCTGTTCAAGTGCTAGAAACAACAAATCCTCAGCTCTAAATGTCATCAAAGTGGCTTCAAATGCCTAGGTTTTCCATTAATACTCAACCAAGTGAATCTGACTAAAGGTCAAATGCATAGCCTAAAGGAAACAAGTCAGTTGAAAAAGAACATTTGTTTTTTAGCTGTTCTCTAATGTTGTTCATTCCACATATAGAAAACACTTCAGTACATTCAATGGAGTATGTGTAATACATCCCAAAAACTTTCACAAAAGAGGATTGTCAGAATATCATTGTTCTACATTTAATAATCCTTTCTGGTTTTGATTATTAGCAATGTGGCTACTGCATGAGTAGTGTAAGACCAGATAAGCTACTTTCATATTTTAAGAAATGCTGCAAGGCTACTGCCTCTTATGCCAAGCAAGCCATAGCTAAGGTGTCTGCCATGTTTGGGTTTGGTGATCTCTTCTGGCTGCCTCTGCACAGCATCCACTTGGACGTTACTCAGTTGTTGTTTTAATATTTTCTTAGGCTATCTGTGAATGTTACACATTAAGACAACTGACTTGGACCTCTTGGCATTAGGACCAAGGTACACACATCATGCAGAATGACCATCACTGCATGGGAAACTATGCCATCTCCATGTAAGTCTATTGATTAAGGATTCCCTTTGATCTGGCTTTTGTAAAAATAAAGCAGACCCTGGAAAATGTTTCCAATCACATATTGGACCTAACACTCCCTGAGAAGCTGTTCTTTATGCAATCACTTGAGAGGTCTCAGGAATAACAAAAATAATACAGGCCATAGTTATTTGATTAGGGGGTTTATAGCCTTGTATTTGGAAAATAAGAAACATATCAGAAACATGATCTCCATAACTTGGTTCACAGTACCTCTGTGAAAACCTGATGCACACATGCAAAATGTACTGAAACAATCCACTGGTTTTTATTTGAAAAGATGGTCATGCTGAAAAGGTTCCCTTTGGATGAAATTTCTGGCAGTCCCTGTAAAATGATGGCATATTAATTTAATCTGTCCTCAGTGAAAATGTCAAATTGGAATAGTTGTGATTTCATTCACCAATAGCCAATGCCAACATCATTCCAGGAGCAGCCATCCTGTTCAATATGAGATCCCTGACCTGATGGTATCATACACGTGACTAATTTGTAGAGGAGACAAAGCCAGGGAAGCAACAACAGGCAGTGGGAAAAGGCATAGAAAAGGAAGCAGACAGAGGAAACAGTGGCTCCATGCAGGGAGCTTTTAAAGGAAAGGTGAACTTGCAAAGTCTTCCTCAGGGTAAAAAAAATCTATTCCACTGAAACGTTACTGAATATTTGTGGTGGAGCCAATTGAGGTACAGAATTCTGAGGTACAGAAATGACTGACATTAATTTAACATTCATGAGAATGCCCAAAAAAGGTTGGGAGGGCAGTGTTTGCCATCAAATACAAGAACATCTATTAAATGTATCAGTGTTAACCTCATTTCTATTATCTATTACACTGTGCTACTAGTGTAAATTCCAAAAACATGCAGCAAGATACAACGATTTCTTGCAGACCCTCTTAAAATCTAAAGAATTATTCTTATGTCAACTTCCATGTGTGTTATTTCTGACACTGAAACATATCCACATGTACATGTATATAGAGAGCGTGTGTATATAGATGCAACACATCAAACAATAATTAGGACTAGGAAGTACACTGCTAACAAAAATCAATCTGATAGATGCCTTTTGAGTTTTCTTCTTCATATCCCTTTGATCTTGTATTTGGAGAACAGGCAGTACAAGACCAGCAATGTAGCATTCATATCTTGGTTCACAATATCTGCAAAAACACAAGAAGACAAAACTAAAATGTCTGATAACTTAGACATCCCAGTGGTGAAGAGAAATGTCTGGTTTAACAAATTTAATTGGTACCCCTCAGGGTGGAGAAAGCAAGGCAGCTCTTTCAGACCTGATGCTCAGGACCAAAGGCAACTGCCATCAAGAAGCTGTGGAATGAAGAACTGCAAGAAATATGTAATGAAAGCGCTTATGGGATTATGTCTGTATCAAAAGAGAATGTTTATCTGTCTGTTCATGTATCAGTACTATGGCACCAAGACCAAGGAATTTACCATGTGTACAAAGGGAAAGCAAGGGCTGTGTTCCTTGGATTTACTTGTTTGTAAAGTAGATTAATTAGCATTAATTAACATGAACGTGGTTGAAAGGACAGACTGTCCTAACAAGCACACAGCTTTGCAGTCTATACAGTGTGCAGCTTGGGAAGACCAAGTCAACTATTTTAATTGTTATTGTTTTAATTTATTGTGTATTTTATTATGTTGTGAGCCGCCCCGAGGCTACGGCAAGGGGCGGCATAGAAATGTTTTAATAAATAAAATAAATAAATAAAACTAACAGAGTTATTTGCTTCCCCTCCACCCATTATGCCAAGGGTCACCAGCAGGCTTCACTCAGATGGGGTGGACACAGTGTGTGCAAATCTGATAGCTGTGTAAGTTCACTTGAAAGTTGTGCTGTATCAAACTAAGGGTTATTCCAACCTGTGCAATGGCAGGTCTGTTTGCTATTGCGTGTGTTTGTGTGTGTGTGTGTGTGTGTGTGTGTGTGTGTGTGTGCGCACAATGAATTCTGGAATGTCTTGGCAAATGAATATTGACATAATGGGTTTATGTGATTTTTTTTCAGTGATTTTTTTCAGCTTCATTTAAAGAAGCAAAGTCTCCAGTTCTTTTACTTTTAGTGCAATATTCTAAATATCTGCCCAGAAGAAATGAACTAAACTGGGACTAGTCCCAGGTAAGCAGGTACAAGGTTACAGCTTAAATAAGGACAAATGTGCAGCAGAAATTTGCATGAAACCCAATTCTTCCATTAGCCATACTACTTTCTGCAAGCCAATGTTCTGGCCAGTGAGTCCAAAGGTATGACTGACAAACATTTGTCATATGTGTGGGTGTGCATGCCTAGCTGATCTTACATTGTATCAATATAATTTTGTAATGCTGAACATATTAGATTGTTTGTGTTTTGCAATTTTGCACTAACTTATAATAGACTAGTCCTATTCTGTATAAGGTGCTGGGTATGACATGCAAATTTAGGCATCTGCTAGAATGACTGACCTTCAGGGTTGATGGGAGTGTCCAAAAGGTCTTCATCCATCATGAAATCTACTGCAAGGTTAACATTGTGTACCTAAGAAAGGCCCACAAAAGAAAAGGTGATTAAACTTCTGGATAAAATGTAAGCTCACACATTAAAACAAAAACACATCAGTTAATAAAGCATCAGTTCAAACTTTTGGACCCTGAAGAAGCACTGGAGTTGTTTAGAATGTTGGGGCTCAAACTGTATATTTATACTCAGTCTTTTGGGCAGGTTATTTAAGACTAGCTGTACCTCCCATGGCAGCCACTTTGACATGGCGCCCAGGAGTTTCTCAAACCCCAAAGAATTGCTTATGCCTTATGGCAGGGATGGCAAACCTTTTAGAGACCAAGTTCCCAAACTGCAACCCAAAACCCACTTATTTATCACAAAGTGCCAACACTACAATAAAACCTGAAAACGGAGGTTTTAGTTTAGAAAAAACAACTCACAGCCAGTCCAAGCAAATATATATATATCATGTATCCTCAAACTACGGCCCGTAGGATGGATCTGGCTCGCCATGTTCATCCATCCAGCCTGTGCCACCGTTCGCCGCCCACGTGTGCACTTGCTGCGTGGGTGGGGAGGCGGTGGCTCGCTCGCTCACTCGGAGGTCTCCGAGCAAGCAAGCAAGCCGCCGCTACCGCCTGCCTCCCATACGCATGTGGCAGGGAGTGGGGGAGGTGGTGGCTTGCTCGGAGGTCTCCGAGCAAGCAAGCAAGCCGCCACCACTGCCTGTCTCCCATACGAGCGCGGTGGAGAGGTGGTGGCTCGCTCGATCAGAGATGGTCTCCGAGAAAGCAAGCCACCGCCACGCGTGCCTGACGCCGCCTCGCACACACCTGACGGCACCTCACCAGCCCGCGCCCCCAGGCACCCCCACCTTACCGGCCCGCACGTGTAGCCACTGCCGTTCAACTGGCCCCCTATCAAAAAAGTTTGAGGACCCCTGATATATATCCTTGGCAGCACACTGACTGGCCTTGCGAAAGCTCGGATGAGTTATGGCTAATGAGTCGCGGATCGTGACATCATCACCTGGCACCATTACTCCTGTCTGAGCATGCACATGGCCCCTGTGTGCACTGTTATCCAATGCTTGGCTGCTGGAGTGATGCTGGGGCGACTTGGCTCACGTGCCGACAGAGAGGGCTCTGTGTGCCCGCTGTGGCACATGTGCCATAGGTTCACCACCGCTGCCTTAGGGTAACCCTATAGTGTGGGAGCCAACATGAAGTCCTGAAACCACAGCTGAGTGCATAAAGAATCACCTACCTTTTCTAAAACAGAATTTGGATTCAGGAAGAAATCTCCCAGATTCAGGAAAAAGCCCTGAAGCTGCCCAATTAGCAAGAGTAAAATAACTCCATCTGCAAGCTGGGGGGAAATGAACAGAAACACATTAAGGCTATGAACATAAACTTTCTATTTGCTTAATCCTACTTTCAGTTCTGATAACTCCAATACTTTCATGACAGAAGGGACAAGATTTGTTGCCACTAGTTTTGTGCAATAAAACTTCTACGCAAACCAGCACAAAACCGTAATCGATATATTTCTTTGGAATGATACAACACTACAATTACACCAAGTTCTCATATTCTATTCTAAGTCCAAACATCAGCACCTTAACATCAGTTCAGTGTGGCGTGGGAGTTGCTAGAGCTCATGCTCTCTTGTACCATTTCAATGAAAGAATAACTTTGCAAGTATGGATTACATGAAAAATAACCAGCTCCAGGCTGCCAGACCACAGTGATGCTGATGCTGTTCCTGCATATATCTCACCTGTTCCAAGTGATTATTCTTTTGAATATAAATCTGATGAAAATATATAAATACCTCAAAAATTAATATATTACTAGTGTGGTACAACACAGTGGCTCTTCCACAAAACCAATAACATATGCATCAGGTCTTAGCGTTAAGGAGTCTGTCTTAAGAGTACTATGACTTTGGTTCAGATCTTGTCATATATTTCCCAACTTTAGGCAAGTGTTCAGGTTAGCAATTTAAGTCAATGCAGGTCAACAAGACACATCTGTCTCTGAAAACTGAGCCCAAAATCTACTCACACAAGCTGGCTATTCCCAATTTTCAGAAATACCCTCTCTCATCTTCTGTGTAGTGTTTTTCTTTTCTTTTCTAGGGGGCTGCAGCGAGGAGAAAAGAGTGGGGAAGTTGCTTCTGCCAGTCTGGCTGCATGCAGTCAAATCTGGCTCCATCCCTAAAGCTAACATCTTGTGGTGGAATATTCATCTACTGTAATATTTGTCCATTAGTTTTATCTTCCAGGATGGAACTGAATCCCTTATTCATGAGTTACAGAGCCGCTTCATATATTACATGGTTTGCCACCAAGTGTATATTTGACAGGAAGCCAAGTTGAGGCTGTCTCTAACAAGTACAAATAATGAATACACTGGTTTATGTTTCATATGCTACATTTTTATGAATGCATCTTTAAAAAGCACACTGAAATAGATACCCACTATCTAAAGTGGAACTGTCTGGGAAAGGCTACATGGCATTTCTGTGCTTCAAGTTAGCTCATTTTGTGACCTTCATCAAATCACTGCCCACACCCATTTGTAGACAGGGAGTAACAGCAATCTCTTTCATAGAGCTGTTGAGAGAACAAACACCACCAAGCATTTGCAGATTAAAAATAGTATAGGAAATCACTGGAACAGGTTTTTACCTGAGAGTCAAGATTTGTCACATTTAATCCCAATTTTTCAACATGCTTGTTGACAAACTTCAAAAGTACCTAAGAGGACAGAAAGCAGCACAGAATTGTTGTGTTTCTATGTCATATTATAAACTGCCCTGAAAAAACAGTGGGGTGTTCACTTATTTTACCTGTTTTACAGCTTCCAGTTTCTCTGGAGCACATTTCAGTAATTCATTGAAGATGTCAGCTTCTACAGCAAAGTGGTACATGTTAGCTGGGTAAATGCCATGCCACAATTCTCAGTATTTTTGGAGAATACATTTACATTGTGTGTTGTACTGCAGGTTCTAATGACCTAAATCTCAACTCAATAATAAAATGAGGCAAGGCTGAATGCTTGGGATCCTCTCTAGCTTGTACACAAATGACATTCTGTCTCTGTCTCTGTTCTTTGCTACCTTTGCATATAATTTGTACCCTGCCTTCACTGCAAAATGGCACTCAAGGTAGCTATAGACATTTAGACTGTGAGTCAGGCTTCTGCAACCAGGCACCTTCTAGAACTGTCTGACTGTCCACCACCAGACAATTGGACATGCTGGTTGGCAGTTACAGAAGTTGCAGTTTGCCACATCTGGAAAGCGTGATATTGGCAAAGACTGCTGGAAGTTCTTTGGGACAGAGACCCATCTTCTACTGTTATTTACCCTGTTGGGAGAATCAGCAAAACCTGACTTTCTTGAGAGTCCTGATTTACATACTAGAGCTCAGCTTCTCTCACTTTCATTTCAGATGGTGAGCTTCTTCTGTGGCTGCTGCTGTTGTTTAGATAGGAGAAACTAAACACTCTGCATGCACAATTTCAAAGTGTGCACCAAACGGCACTTTTCTTCCATTTCCACCCCCATGCACCTCTTCGCAGTACACATTTTTCTAATGTGAATCAAGCTTATAGACATTCAAGCATTTCCCAAAAAAGGTTGGGGGCAAATGGAGTAAATTCTGATCAAAATCAAATCAAGTGAAAGGTACATAAATCTCTACTTTGTAATGCACAGTGTATTTTGATGGTGTGTTTTGATGTACAGCTAAATATCATCATCCTCTATTTAGCATGCAATCTTATGTTCACTGGAGTGCATCCCAGGGATTTTCCAGATTTTCCCTCTTTGAGCAGGAAGCACTGCTACAACCTTGGGAAAGGAACTCCAGTATCTGATCACTTCCTTTGCCTGACAGCGCCGTGGAAAGAACCTGCTTTCCCAGCATTACAAATATAGTTCAGAGGACCCCACAGAGCTTAATGAGGGGACATTCCAGTGGGCATGGAGGGGAGGGGAGGCTGCAGTACACAGATTTCTACTGCCTCTCCAGCCTGGCCTCAGCCCCAGCAGCTCAACCCCTCTTGATGGGCTCAGAGGTACATGTAGAAGAGCATGTACAAAAGGTAAGACAGGAAGGCAAACATCTCTGGTAGGACACAGAATCCCAGGCTTCCTTCAAAGGGTGGCAGACCAATACTGTTTCACTGTTTGAGATACTGGAAGAAGACTGTTATTTGCTGCATGTGATATGAGGCTTTGTTGTTGAGGGTTAGTCACAGAGTTACTGAAAGCAGAACATAGTGTCTGAAAATTGAAACAAAGATTTCTTCTGTAACTTACTTGCAAAATTTTCTGCAGTTTCCCTAAATATCAAACAAACAAACAGAGTTAGTACTCCAAGAAAGGCATCTGATAAAGTGAGCTGCAGCCCACACTAAACAATTTACATGTCACAGCAACCTACTTTGCAAGCAAACCAGTATGGTGGGCTGTTTGTTAAACAACTCATGGTGCATCTGACAGACTGTATAGATTAATATGGGTTTTCTTGAATTCCTTTCTGCTTAGTTCTCCTGTGGGTATCCAAGGATGAGATGGCATTGGGGTGGGGGATTGAGGAAGTGGGGGGAGCCAAGGTGAGTGCAGAAGGGCTTGCAGTCACAGCGGGGGGCGGGGTGCATTGTAGAAGTGAGGCAGTGGTTTTAGGGCAATATCCACATTACAGTCAGCGGGATGAGAATGGGGATAAATGGAACCATATGGCTCTTGTCATCACTTGAGATGCTCACCATATGGATCAATCAACTTCCATCATATTGTCCTTTCTGGGGTCATTTGCTATCCAGAGGAGTAATGTGACACCACTCACAGTCAACCTCCCACATGAAAACAACATGATAGGTAAGAGTCCTGGGGCCATGTGTGCTGACCCACCCTCCACATCTTGAGCCTCCTCATGGTGAACAGGGTGGTCTGCAGGGAACTGCTGCCCACCCTCACCTGAACTTAAAGCAGGACTATCATCCCTTCTATGCATCCTTAAAGCTATGGTGGAAGACAGTCCTTGAACTTAAGGTGGCAAAGCTGTTTTTAGATGTGCATGAAAAAAATCTCCTACTTATAATCTTGGTTTAAATCCTCTCCCTGACTTTAGATGCATGAAGTAACTTTTAATATGGAAGTTCATTTGGTAAAGCAATACCTCACTCAGCCTATGAAGTGATACAATCCGGAAGAAGTTTTATGCTGTCATCACCATCATCATATATCCACTAGACATTCAAGCTAGATTGGCATGGTCTGTGGGGAGTTGTCTGACAAATGAAGTAGAGCGTATGCTTTGTATGAAGAAGGTCTGGGTTATGATCCCTGGAATCTCCTGGAAGGCTGGAAAAATTCCTGCTCGAAACTCTGGAGAGTGACTGCCAGTTAGTGTCGACAAAACTGAGTTAGATGGATCAAGGATCTGACTCAGTATAAGACCACTTTCTGCATTCCTAGAAATCTCACATGTGCTTTTGGGTTAGCTCAGCTACCAGCAGTGGTAACTGTGGATTAAAAAGAGGGCTTTGCACCTCCTGAATTAGCTCTGGTTTCAACAGCACCTCAGTAAAGAGCTGAATGGGGTTCGCACAAACCAGTAATGAAAAATTCTATTTTCTACACCTTTTAAATCCTATCTGCAAAACCAACACAATATTTTAAGATAAATGACTGCACGTCTTCCTATATAAACTATCATTCCCATTTTTGTACACTCAGAGTTCAAGACAAAGTATGTTTTACCTCTTCTTTGTGATGCACTCTATTGTATTTTCAGTCTTTAATCCATGTGCAGTACTCTATGAACAGAAAGCAGGTTTTAGAGGAAGTATAGAAAACTGTATAAGGCAGTTGTAAGAGGAAAAGGCACCCACTACTAACTTGTGGGAAGGGAAGGGAAGGGAAGGGAAGGGAAGGGAAGGGAAGGGAAGGGAAGGGTCTATTAAATGGACAGGAGAGTCATGTAGTGCAAGATGCCTTAATGGTCTAGGATGAAACCAAAAGATGTTGCTAAATACAACCTTTAAAACAGGTCTACACAGGTCTACACATTCGGAGACCAAACGCAGCATTCCCAACCCTCTCTTTTCTGCCAGCATGCAAAGTTTTGGGGGAGCATCTCAAGGGAGAAGTGGTAAGTTGAAAGAAAAGTGCTTAACCTTTCACCTGCTTGCTGTTTTTCTTTTGCAACTCTCCCCCTGCCAGTCCCCCCACCCCACACCCTCCAGCCATGGCTCCTGAAATGCTGCCAAAGAAAGGCAGAATATACATGCTTCAATAAAAAAACCAAACTGGTGACTGCACCTGGTGGTACACATATAAATATGTAACCATGTATATATGGAGTGTTTTCATTGTGTTATGACCTGTGGTTACGACAATAAACCCTTCCATACTTACAGTGCTCCTCCCCCAGAACACCCACACATGTACCACTCTGAATGGTATCAGCAGACATGAGGGTTGGGAATACTGGGAATTTCTGATCATGAAGTTCTACCCAGTACACTGATCTGTTCTGTAGGAAGACTTGTATAATGGAAAGTCAGAGTTGGTTTCTAGCACAAATATTCTTAACTGATCTAGGGTTTACTTGAGTATACCAGTAGCAGGTATACAATCTATAGAAAAAGTGGTAATGTGAAAAAAGACTAGTTAATTCTAGAAGGAATATGCTTATCCTCTGCCATTTTGACATCAGTTACACCCTGCATAATCTCCCAAAATATTTGTGACATATTCAATGAGTATTGCTATTTCTGCTTGAGATCCAGTGATATTAAATTGTGAAACATGACATTTTATTCCACTACTTGACAGCTACCATTTGACAGTATTTGACACCTGTTATTAATGGCATTTTATATTTAATTGCAGATATGCACTGGTATTTAGCAGTTTCTTGTTTTTGATAGTTGAAATGCAAAGCATGTGCTTGTGTTTCATAACTGACAGATTAACATTCATATCTCATAATCAAAACCCAAATTCAATACTATAATGGAATGCTATCCAGTTCAGCATAATTGAATTTTAAGAGAACACATTCATGTTTTGAATTTTGCTTTAACAATGAAATGTTGACCTAGTTTGAACATTCCTAATGTCATTTCAGTATGAGAAAAGCTGAAAGGACCTTGATTTGCAGCTGGATGGAATAGCCTCTTCCCACTTCTTGCAATCTATCTTGTAGGCTGCTGCTGCTACAGCAGGTTCAATGAGAAGACAGGGAGGCAGGAACCTACAAAACCGATCCTGCCACCACTCTTCCTTCAATATATGGCAGCTGTACTCCTAATGATATTCCATACTGTGAGGAAGGTGGTGCTATGAAACAAGTGGAAGCCATTTTACCCCTACCCTATCCTACCATGCTCCACAGTTCACCACAGAGCTAAATGGGTAGATGAGATCAAGACTAGGGTTTGCTCCTTATCCTGCTCTCAGCATGTCTCTGATTTTAGGATGTTTACAATGGGGTACAAATACAGAGCACAAGATGGGAATAACAGTCTTAAATTACCTCTATATTTATTACAGCCACATTTACATTTGGAGGTATAGGAAGCTCTGGTTGGAAATGCTCAGCAATGGCCACCAGAAGATGCAGTGTGCTTAATAGGTCCTTCCTGAAGATGACTAAAATAAAAGCATACACACATACATACTGATGAAATACAAACTGGTTGATTTGACTCTCAGCCCAGCTACCTCACAGGGTGGTTGTTGTGGGGATGAGCTTGATTGCAGGAAGAGGAGAATGATGTAAGTGACATTGAGTTCTTTGTAAGAAAAGGTGGGATATAAATCTAGCAAACAAACAAACAAACAAATAACAGGTATCTATATTAATGAGAGTAGATTTTGGTATAATTGAAAGAAAAGTGCTTAACCTTTCACCTGCTTGCTGTTTTTCTTTTGCAACTCTCCCCCTGCCAGTCCCTCCGCCCCACAACCTCCAGCCATGGCTCCTGAAATGCTGCCAAAGAAAGGCAGAATATACATGCTTCAATTAAAAAAACCAAACTGGTGACTGCACCTGGTGGTACACAACAGATACCTATATTAATGAGAGTAGATTTTGGTATGATTATACTATTTCATTAAAAATAAATTGCAGTGCAGGCTGGCCCCAGATTTTCAGGAGCCTTCAGGAAAGGCAGAACTGCATGTTCTAACTCCTCCAGAGTAATGAAGGACAGAGGCAGCATGAGAGAAAGTGAAAATGCTGGTGCTGCTGAGATAGTGGGCCCTTGCCTGGCTTGGGGTACAGGAAACACCCTCACTGCTCTCTGAAACCAACCCTGATTATTGTAGTAATAAATCAACAGTCCATCCAGCAATGCACATATACGCATCCAGGAGAGAAAACCTTACTTTCCAGTACATAGTTCTTTTTGTTCCTGCCAAGATCTCTCCCTCCCTCTCTTTCTCTTATATATATACATATATATGGATATTCTGCCACACAAGATTTATTTATTTATATATTTATTATAAAGAAAAAAGAAGCACTAGTTGTCTATGACAGCAATTGTATATTTGGCCCTTCTGTTACAGCTATTAAGAGAAAAGAAGAAAATATGAGTCAGTCACCTTTAGTCAAGCAGATTTCTTATTCAGTTTATTTTATGACCTTCCATCTCTGCATTTCTTAGCCTGCCCTTTTAATTAGTTATTTTCTGTCAGTTCAGTGTCTGAAATTCAGTGACACAGAAGACTCAACAAACTGAAGAAAAACAAACAGCTCAGATGAAAAGAGCTCTTTTTTATCTAGTGGAGGAAACTAGTTCATTAACTACATTCAAGAAAGAAGAAAATGATGTTTCTAAAATGTGAAAAAGTGAGCATTGTAACCAAGGTAGAGACAGAATTTTAAAGGGAAGGACATAAAAAATATTTCTGAGTCATGACTTATACAGTAGAAAGGCCCTCAGAAATGTCTGCCTTTTAAAATATATTGAGGAGAAAAAGGAAGCCTAAGAAGGTTGATGGGAATTAATGTATACCTTTTAAGTGTTTTAAATGTGTACATGTATAAAGGTGAGCATTTAATGTAAAGAAATTCTGTATTATGCTATGTCATGGTTTGTGGGGGTTACTGCATATGAGGATCACTGCGTATGGTATATGACCAAAGTAGATTTCCAAGCTGGATTGGTAGGAAACAGTTGAAAGCCATTTCATGCAGTAAAATAAGGGATCTGCTCCATTTATTATTAAAAGCAGAATCCCCTCTCCCACTAACACGTCTCCACTTTATAATCAAATGGGCCAGAATATGTTTGCTAGTACACACACATCTAGTTCATCCCAAAACCAACTTCCTCAAATTGCCTCACCGGTAGAAACCTTGCTGCATTGATATGTTTCAGCAAAATGGCTGCCATTATGACAGGAGTATTATGCAGAGGAAAAGCAGGTTGCTTACCTGTAACTGATGTTCTTTGAGTGGCCATCTGTGCAGTCACACATATGGGTGCTGCGCCTGCGCAGTGCCTTTGGCCGGAAGATTACAAGCTAACGGGTTTTTTTTTTTTTTTTTTTGGCGGGAAAAGCTCTGCTCCCCCTCCCCCACAGTCTATAAAGAGCGGAGTGTCCGCTATTTTGTTCAATCTTTGACGACCGAACGGATGCCCCCATGTGGAAAAAATTAGTTCTACTGTGAACAACATCGGTACCAAGGAATAATAGAAATGTTCGGTACCAACGAAAAGATCCACTCACCGACACCGAGCGGGGCCGGTGGGTGGGTTGTGTGACTGCACAGATGGCCACTCGAAGAACATCAGTTACAGGTAAGCAACCTGCTTTTCTTCATCGTGGCCTCTGTGCATCACACATATGGGTAGATTAACAAGCTTACCATAATGGAGAAGGGGAGGTGTCCTCAACAAAGAACAGATGAAAGAACGGCTCTGCCGAAGGAGCAATCTTGTTGAGCCCAAACGTCTAAACGATAATGTTTGGCGAAAGTGCAAGGGTTCGCCCAAGTAGCAGCCCGACATACTTCGTCAATTGGTACTCCTGATGCGAAGGCAGAGGAGGTAGCAACAGCCCTAGTTGAATGGCTATGAGGAGCTGTAGGTAAGTCAATCTTAGCCAGTTGGTAAGACAAAGTGTTGGTATGGACTATCCACTTAGAAAGCCTCTGCTGAGTGACAGGAGTGCCTTGATCTCTGGTAGCATATTTAACGAAAAGTCTATCTGAGCGCCGAATAGATTCCGTCCTAGATCTGTAGAAGGCTAAACAGCGCCAAACGTCGAGTGAGTGCAATGATCTCTCTAGCGGAGTCAACGGAGACGGAAAGAAGGCAGGCAAATTGATATCTTGTCCCAGATGAAAGGAAGTGGACACCTTAGGGAGAAAGGATGGATCGAGCCGCAGGACGACCTTTTCTCTGTGAAAGTTGAGGTAAGATGGGTCTACGCAGAGAGCACAGAGCTCACTGGCCCTTCAGGCCAAGGTAACCGCCACTAGAAATGCTGTCTTCCACGAAACAAGACGTAAATCGACTGTTGCTAATGGTTCGAAAGGAGCTCTTGTAAGCGCTTGCAAAACAACAGAGAGACTCCAGGTAGGCATTACTGGCCTGATCGATGGATTCAGATTATAAAGCCCTTTCAGAAACGTCTTAATAGTAGGTTGAGAGAAGATGGGACGATCCGTCCAGCATACCACGATGATAGGCAATTGCCGCCGTATACACTTCAATCGAACATGGTTTCAGTCCAGAGTGGTGTAGTTCTAAGAGGAACTGAAGAATTTGATGTATCGATGATATAAGTGGAGAGAACGAACGAAACTCGGCAAAGGTGGAAAATCATCTCCATTTAGCCGCGTAAGACTTCTGTGTGGAAGGCTTTAGAGCAGAATCCAAGATGTGTTGAATGTCCGAATGAAAGGTTGTTGGATTCAACGGAACAATAGTTGGATCTGACAATGCTGCTGGATCGAAAGAGGAAGCAACATCGACCCCAGCAGATTCAAAGGTTCTGGATGCAGTGGATTCAAGGGCAGTATTCAAACCGCTGGAAGTTGCCGTCGGTACAGATGTAGCAAAATGAACTATCGGATTCGCCATGCTGTTAGTTTCAACGACAGTATATCTGGGTGGCGAAGTGCACCGTCCTGTTGGGTTATGAGGTACGGAAGTGGTGGAAGATGAAGGTATTCCCCATGAGAGATATCGAGCTGTGTGGCAAACCAAGGCTGGCGTGGCCACCAAGGGGTAATCAGTATCCCCGTGGCCTGATCGTATACAATCTTCGCTATGACTCTCATCACAAGAGGAATCAGCGGGAAGGCGTAAAAATTCATGTTGTTCCATGGGATCATGAAGGCATCCCCTAGGGATTCGCACCCGATTCCTGCTCTCAAACAGAAAGTCTCGCACACCTTGTTCTGTTGGGTGGCGAACAAGTCCACGTCGGGAAACCCCCAGCGATGAAAAAGTTCGTCGTGTGTCCGAGGATCTAGTTCCCATTTGTGGGAGATGAGCATGTGCCTGCTGAGAAGGTCCGCTTCCATATTGTCCATACCGGCCAGATGGACTGCCATTAGTGTAGTGTCTCTCGAAATGCACCAGTCCCAGATCTGCATAGAAAGTCTGGCCAGGGTCGGAGATTTCGTCCCACCTTGTTTGTTCAGATAAAAGACGGTGGCTATGTTGTCTGACGTTATCTAAATGACCCAATGTTGAAGAACATCCTCGAAAGAACGCAGGGCTTTGAATACCACCAACAGCTCCAGGAAGTTGGTATGATTCGTGGATTCTTGATGCGTCCACGTGCCCTGGGTATACAGGCAAACCGCTCCACACCCCAGAAGAGACACGTCGGTACCAACGGTTATCGATGGGCACTGAGGCCTGAAGGGGACCCCAAGAATCAAATTGGCCGGGACCGACCACCATAGTAGAGAGTGGAGCACCGAGGATGGAACTCAGAGCAACTTCGACAGTGGAGCTCTCTGTGGATGGAACACTTTGTTGAGAAATAGCTGCAAAGGACGAAGTCGAAGTCTGGCATGTGGTACCACAGCAACGGAGGAAGCCATGTGACCTAGAAGCCTCTGGATGGACTTCGCTGGAACCATTCCGTCTCGTCGCATTCGATGGATGTGGCGAGCGAGAGTCAGTTGTCTGTCCTGAGGGAGGAAGGCCTTTTCCAATGTCGAATCCAAGTGGGCTCCGATGAATGTAAGCTTCTGTACCGGAAGAAGAGAAGATTTCCGACACCGGAGAAGAACTACTGCGCCCCAGCCTACGCTGCGAAGACCGCTCCGCGCCACGCCGCTCTGCCATTCCATCACCCACCTGGCTGCTCTGCCACGCCCCTGCATGCGTTCGAGGCGTGCCGGCCGAGGCGGGGCGTTGGGAGCCCAGCAGCTTGAAAGCGCCGGCAGCGGCCAGGGCCGGCAGCCTCGGGCCGGCGGCTGAAGGGCGTCGGCCAAAGGGCGGTTGCCGCCGTTTGGGGGGGCCGTTGGGGGGGCGGGTGGGGGGGGGGGGGGGGGGGGCTGGGCTGGCCAGGGGGCTTTCACTTTCGCTGTTAGGCCCTCCTGCTGAGCGCTGAATTTTTAAAATGTTTTTATAATTTTATAGTGTTTATATTGTTTTATGGAGTCGTCCCTGGCCATGCTGCCGCTTGCATTTCCTGGGGAGCGCACCGGCGCTGCCATTGGGGTGGTGATGGGCAAAGGACGTAACAGCGGTGGGAGCTTAACGTGTCTGCATAGAAGAAGGAGGGACAGATGGCTGACACCTGTCCCTACTTCTGGCTTTGCTCCCAGCCAGAGGGTGCCAGGGAGTCTTGTCAGTCGCCCCTCGGGCCTGACAGTGCTGTTGCTTAATGCCAGGTCGGTCAATAACAAATCTGCCCTCATCCATGACTTGATTGTGGATGAGGGGGCCGACCTGGCCTGCATAACGGAGACCTGGGCGGAAGGGGGGGGGATGTCGCCCTCTCTCAAATGTGCCCGCCCGGGTATCTGGTCCAGCACCGTTCACAGCCAGAGGGGAGGGGAGGGGGGGTTGCTTTAGTTTACCGAGCCTCCATCTCCCTCACAGGACTTCCTGTCCCTTCGAGACCAGGGCTGGAGTGCCTCTACTTGGTGTTGGGTGACCGAGACAGATTGGGGATTCTGTTGGTGTACCATGCACCCTTCTGCCCAACAGTCTCCCTGCCTGAGCTGACGGAGACTGTCTCGGACCTGGTGTTGAGGAGCCCCAGGATGTTGGTCCTGGGGGACTTCAATCTCCATGCCGAGGCTAGTCTGACCGGGGCGGCTCAGAACTTCATGGCCTCCATGATGGCCATGGGGCTGTCTCATCATGTCACCGGACCAACCCATGAACGTGGACACACTCTGGACCTGGTTTTCTCAATGGGGCAGGAAGAGGGTGGTCTGAGGGTGAGGAATTTATGCTTGACTCCCCTGTCATGGTCAGATCACTTCCTGGTGAGGTTTGTGCTCGAGAGCGACCTCTCCCTCTGTAAGGG